AGAAGAATGAGAATGAAAGATGGGAGCTGATCCGCATTGAGGCGTTCACGAAGGACTTGGAGAACGAATCGAGGTATTGTACTAAGGTTGATGATGAGGTAATGGATTTTAAAGGTGGCACTAGCAAATGTTATGAAACTGAGATTCTCAACGACAAAAAGAAGGAAACTCTAATAAATGAAGTAATTCCTGCTGCTATCAAACTGCACAGGGATCGTCTGCTTGTGCAACCCCAGGAAGGCAAATTGACTGTTCCTGAGTTTCAAGATGAGAGTTATTGCAAACATTTCACTGTACCCTCAGATCACCACGATAAAGGTGTTGAAAATGCTGACTTTGTGCTTTACGTGGCAGCCGGTACCGGAGAGCCATTTGGTGTCACATGTGCCCCTGCCGAAGCGTCAAGTCGCCCGATTGCTGGTGCCATTAATATTTCACCGTACACTCTTGTTCATCCGCGATGGGGTGTCCGTGCTGTTGCCCACGAGATGGCACACGCACTGGGTTTTGACTGTAAGCGGATGGAGCAACTTAAGATGGTGACCAAAATCAATGTGCGTGACAAGGATCGTAAGGTGGTGAGTTCCAAGCTGACGAAGGAAAAGGCACAAGCACATTACAATTGCTCCACTCTCGAGGGTATGGAGCTGCAGTTGGGTAACGGAGATGAGGTACAATCGCACTGGACGCAGCGTAACGCGAAAGATGAGTTAATGGCCCCGACGGATGCATTCGGTGCCGGTTACTATACAGCCCTGACCATGTCAACTTTTGAGGATATGGGCTACTATAGGGCAAACTGGGGAATGGAGGAGCCAATGAGCTGGGGCAACCACAGCGGGTGCGATTTCTTTGAGGATTTGTGTATCGTCAACAATGCTGCCAAATATCCCGAAATGTTCTGCGGCAAAAGTGTTTCTCGATGCACAACGGGCCGCAGTTCCCCTGGCTATTGTAGTGTGCCTGCCAGTTATCATTGGGAGAGCGAAAAAGAAAGGTGCCCATACACCAAGCCCTATTTTGGTAACTTTGAAGAAAAATATCGATACGCGTTTTGTTTTTCGGATGATGTACCTGCTCTTGATGGGTCACTGATGGGGAATGACTCGTGGTGCCTAGATGGTGAGTCACTCCATGTGAATTTTGACGATGGCAGCGTGAAGGATGACGTGGCCGGAGTGTGTGCGCTGGTGTCGTGTAATGAGAGTAGTCGTACAGTAATGGTGAAGTACAACGGTAGCGACGAATGGCACGACTGCCCCGAGGGTAAGTCCATCGAAGCAAAGCCACCTACGTTCAAAAGCGGCCATATCAAGTGTCCCAAATACACTGAAGTGTGCACCATTGCCCCCAACGGCAGCAGTCTTCTTCCACTTGTCAAACCACCTGATCCGACACCCCCTGGTGGTGATAATAATGGTGGTGACAACAATGGTGGGGGTGATAATAATGGTGGTGGTGGTGATAATGTTGGTGACGATAATGGTGGTGGTGGTGGTGGTGGTCATGGTGATGGGTGTGCCACTGCTTCCCCCATCGCTCTGTCAGCTATTGCCCTCATGGTTATCACGCTAATGTTATTACCGTAAACGGTATCAATGGTCCCACTTCACGCCATTAGATAGTGACACAGTGATGTCATGTGCTCAGCACCAAATGTATCCAAGTGATGGTGAACCAGTATTTACTTATACAGTACA